GTCCTTTTTAGGTTTAAAAAATGTTTCACTTTAAAAAAATTAATAATCAAAAACAAATAATAAAAATAAAAAAGCACATGAACTGGACTGAAGCTCTGTTCATTCTTGAGGAATATAACAATATCTTCATCAGCTGTGAGTATTTTTGCCTAAACTTCTGCATAGATTTGCTGTTTGTTGAGTTTCTTAAAGACTGTCCTCGTAATGAATCTTGAAATCCACTGAACTTGTTGACGGAGAGTGATTAGCAGTTTAATTTTCTTAGCATTAAGAAAAAGCCTGTTTAGCCAAGCTGAGAGGAGCATAATTACCAAAAAAAAATCTCTTAATTTGTTTGTTTGTCCCTCGGATGAACCTGTGATTTAATAACTAACCTGTGGCAGTTCACTTTCCACATTTGGAGTAATGAGCAGACTGATGAATGCAATCAACCTCATCCTATAATTATGTGTCATGAATAAATGTATGCATTAGCATTATTATTATCTGTTACATGTCTTACCATGTAATCTCATGCAGAAATTATGCACATTTAMTCAGCTCCTTGCCTATTAAGCATTTTACTGATTTGCTCACTTTGAAAACATAATACAGTCTGCAGAAACGAGCAGTAGACGTGTAAGCACATCGAGCTCTGTCTGGACTTTCCCTCACTCTCCAAATGATATGAAGCTGACTGAGTAAACATTGCGCAGTTGCACACCACTTAAAAACGTAACCACACTGGGACAGGCCCTCCTGAGCTGCAACAGCCCATCCGTATCACTTCCTTTTCTCTGCATCATGTGCCTCTCGGTCTCGTCTACTTCCTCTTTTGCTTTTGTATCAGTCCTGACAACACTATTTATATTTACTGCCCACCACATGCCGAGCGAAGGCTTTGTGAGGAGAGAGGCCAGGTGAAACGCTCGGAGAAGAGTTGACAATGTCGTCGGCGACGAATGGCGATGTGCTGTCTTTGTCGTCTTCCTCGTCATTACCGTCCTTATCAGCGGGATCACAGGAACACGGTTCATCTAAGAGCGACAGCAGCCTTCCCCCGAGCCAGCAGGAGAACACATCAACCAAAGAATTATGGTCTGGGTACAGTATGGGCTTTAATCAACAACAGCCAAACAATCTGAGGGTTTAAAGATTGTGTCTTTTATTGTAAACGTTTCTGCTCCTTTTTATGTTTTCAACCTTTCTGACGTGTGATTTGAGAGAAATCAACAATACCCATATCATCGAATAACCAAGCTTCATTATGAGAATCATCAGCTTTTTATTTAAAATGTTTTAAAAGAACACTTAGGTAGTTTCATGAAGCTCATCTCAGTGAGAGGAGGCAGAGAGGCTGTGGAGTTTCCCGTGAGGTCATAAAGATGTAGGTTACAGTTCATAATTAACTCCATTACATTGTAAAAACAGGTAGTAAAATTATTACACAATGTCAGGRCTTCAACCTGAAATAAACACTTGTGTTTTATAGGGACAGTAATGGTTCTTTGCACGGGTGAACGTGGTGAAAGCTTTAACCAACCCTGTGTACAGAAATGATGGGTTTGCCCAAAAATAAGTGTGTCAAATCAACAGAGCGACTCTGTGCTGTCGCCTATTAGAGGACTCAGCTGTGGCCATCATCTGGTAACACAGTGAAAGACACACACAGCGTAATACAGTCAGGCTTGCTACCAGCAAGAAGGAAACTTATATGCCAAGACAGTGAGTAACCATATTGCTGATAAGACAAAAATATATAAAATCTGTGGTATTCTGGTGTCCTGTTTAAGTTAAAGAGTTTATGAAACGTGTTCAGAGTTCATTGGCTGTCAGAAAATCCAATCATGGAGACACGGCGGTGCAGTCRCAGCAGCACAACTGACACGGAGTGCTGATTTGCCAGGACAGAGTGTTGGACACGGGTAGATTAGCTCTCCATCCTGACCTCTAAAATTAGACCCTCTTTTATTTTGTTTCATTTGAACATCTGCCTTCGTCCAAAAAACTTCCCAAAGTGCTCCGTTGGTGGTTCATGATTCACCAATTATTGGCAACAAACAGCCTACACTGAGGCTCAGTTGTCATGGTAATTGCATAGTAATGACAGGTTTATATTTAGAAACATGTTTTCCCTTTAAATAACAAAAAGAGTTTTGCTTGTCTGATAAAGTCATAAAGGTGTCACACATACCACAATGTATTTACTATAAAGCATCTTGCTGTGTTGGAAAATTCCCTTTAAAAACAGGGGAATGCCTTTTTTCTGAGATTTMTCAGCCAAACAGCAGAAGTTTCACATTAACTCAGAACTTTGAAAATAAAGATTCATTCAAACAATGGTTTGTAGTTTTGTGAATAAAGYCTATTTCCCCTTGTGCAGATAGGAGAACTCTGTGAGGGGACGGTGGGTGACGTTGTGTTTAGGGAGCACTTTGACCTTCTTTGTCAAGCATAAAGGAAAGAACTTTTTTCTACGTAGGTGTCGTTTAAAGCAGAACTAAAGTAAAATGTGAAAAGGAAATTTGTTCGTCAGTGTCAACATGTTCCACAAATGAATGTTAAAGATGTACAGAAACAGAGAATCTCAGAATTTAAATCAATCTGATTTTTATGATTTGCTTTTTATTGTTTTTCTAGCAACACACTCGTTTTAAACTACAATGAATCTACCAAGACACAAACTCTACCTTTTAGTCAGTTTCTAAACAAAGACAATTTTCTCAGATGTTTAGGTTTTGTTATCAGCTAATGCTTTTTTTTGCTATTTTAATTCACTTTACTTTAAAAGGACATTGGTTTATGGACAGTAAGAGCCTCCTGCCCCTGTCACATTAAAATGTTCCTGGAAAGAAAATTCAAAAGAAATATTAGAAGTGGTTCTCAAGTTGTCTAAAGTTAAAAATACTCTGAAGCATATTTTTTGATGTTAACTATTGYCAGTTAAAGATTATGGCTAAATAACTTTCTTTATTAAATTACTGTTGACAGCATATGAGCATATGTTCATCAGATATTTTGCTAAAAGACAAACTCACACAGACGGGTAAAAACATCACCTTCAAGAGCAGGTGATTAAAACTACATATTTTTAAAAGAAGGTAAACTATGGCTGTAAGCTCTCATTGTGACCCACTAAGAAGAACTTCTTATGTAACTTCACATGTCACTGTTTATCTTGCTGTCACATGAGGCTCCCCTAAATTGTGTAACACAGGTTTTTCATGCAMCCGGGCAGTGTACATAAGTGGATGAAAGTGTGTATTTGTGGAGGAGTTTACCCCCTAAGGGGGTGGGGGGTGGGGTGAGAGGTGATTGTAGACTGTGAATCTTTATAGTACTGCGCTCTGTGGGGTTACTGTAGTCCAACTGTGTGTTTGTGTGAAWATGCCCTGAGGGGCTTTCATACCGAGCCGTGTGCTCCTCCACGAACYCATTCCCTCAGGACTCCTCTCTGCTACCTCTCGCTGACAGCTTTCGCTGGTAAACCAGACCACACAACCAYTGAAAGGGAAGCTAGTTTGACTAATTAATTCATACAAAATAGTTGTCTTTAGTCCAAATGGTGCTCTAAAAACAAACACTTTCCAGGGATCATCACCCACATTGTTTCCACAGACAGTGGCTGCACAAATACATCAGACTGTAAAAGCAGACTTTGATTGGGAAAAATYCATTACAGTGTGCTCATATGTGTGTGTCAGGGTGTCTTGAGTGCATAATGTGACTGTGCATATGTGTGGGTGTGCATAATAGCTGCTATTCGATTCACTGTAAGTGCACTTTGTGTGAGTGGGTGTTCGAAACCTGACTTTCCTCTGTGCGTTCATGCTTTTSCTTAATAATAGAAATCCTCTTCTTAATGTTCATCATCAGGACTTTTATTTATGGCACACAGGATCCTCATGTGTGTGTGTGTTCCTGTGTGTGTGTGTGTGTGTGCAGGACAGAAAATGTGAGTCCCATGGAGGACAGATTGCTTTCCACAGATGAGCAGGTCACTTTGATCACGGAGAGCTTGACAGTCACCTCCACGGATCAGGAGAAACTGCTGCTGCTCAACAAGAACACCGAGCTCCGCAGAGTCAACAAAGAGGTACAACAACGTTGCTCCGACTCGCTGCGGAATCTTTGCAGGTCCACATACTATTACTGATGTTGGCAGTCACATTTAGTTCTCTCTGGAAAACCAGAGGAGGGATGTGGGCGTTGTGTGAGAGTGGCTACAAAGCTGTGAAAAGTTATGATTTAAGATACATTTTTCACAATTATGCAACCTTTTGCTTCCTGGTTTAAATTATATGCTTTTTACTGACTTTGACTATAATGCATTAAGATGGATCCGGTGAATAGAGGGAGCATGTTTTTGTTGTTGTTGTTGTTGTTGTTGTGTGTGTGTG